GCTGCTTCCAGTGAGGTAGACAGTGGGACTTGTACGCAAGGCACTTCCCTCGGGAGAACCACCGCAACTCCTCCAGAAGAATTGACAGAGCAACGACGATCCTTGCGGAATACCTGGTACCGTCTGAGGAAGTTGGTGTGGCTGGGATTTAAATGAGTCTCCTGTAAGCAAAGCACACGTGGCTTGTGCTCCTCCAGCAAAAACTCACCATCATCCAGGTTATGTAGTAGCCCTCGACAGTTCCACTGCATTAGCATTGAAACCATTATTAAGATATGAAATTATGAGCACACGGATGAACAGTAAAAAAAAAAATAATCATCCCTTCGGAGGGATTACAGGTTTTTTAGTTTTTTGCTTGGTTTTCGGATTCTGCCACTCCATCTCCTCCTGGTCAGACTCAGGGGTAGATGGGGAGGTGGATAGGGCAGGAGCACCGCTCTCCCGAGCTCCGCAAGCAGGCTTGCCTGCCGGCTTGGGAGGGTCGGAGCTGCGAGATCCTATCCTGCGGCCATGACCAGAACCTGACGGGAGGGTGGCAGATGTACTGGGGAGGGGTTCAACCCCGTCCATCTTCTCCACCTCCTTCTGTGTTACAGAAACTGCATGAGGGCCATGCAGCTCCTTGGTTGCAGGCGGTCTCTCCAGGGAGTGAGGCCGAGGGCCTCGCTTTTTCTCCCTGGTAGGAGACCGTGCAGACTGTACAGGCGCAGCAGGCGCTGGCCTGTCTTGGGATGTGGGAGCAGCCCGCGAACCCTCTCCGCGAAGAGAGGGAGCCTGCTGCCCCTGGGTAGGCTTTGGGGTCCTGAGGGCGGCAGCCAGGTCTTCGAGCAAGACCTGGGTTGCCCTCGACTCCATACGCGGCGCAGGACCCCGGCGCGCCACGTCGGCATACGAGCCTTGTGCAAGGAATGACCAGCGTTTCTTGGCCTCAAGGTATGTAATGTTCTCTTTAGCCTTTAAACTCAGTATCTCCTTTTCCTGCTTCCACAGGGGACAGGCACGGGAGTACGCTGCATGGGTGCCTTTGCAGTTGGAGCAGCACACAGTGCTTTCACAGACGTCTGCGACATGTTCGTTGCTGCCACAATTGGCGCAGATCTCTCTTCCACGGCAGCTCCTGGACCCATGCCCGAACCTTTGGCACCTGAAACACCTTTGGGGGTTCGGCACATAAGGACGGACACGGCAGTTCAGATAGCCTGCCTTTACTGTTGCTGGGAGACAGTGCCGTTCAAAAGAAAGAATAAGATGTTTTGAGGGAATCTCCTGACCCTCGCGGCGAAGTATAATCCGCTTTACTGCAATGACGCCCGAGGTTCGTAGGCCTTCAAGGATCTCATCCTCACTTACATCTAGCAGGTCCTCTTCGGAGATGACACCACGCACAGTGTTCAAAGTCCTGTGCGGTGTTACCGTGACTGAGGTCTCCACGATGCTCTTCATCTTCTGAATGGCCACACTTTGCTCTTGTGTGGTGACCTCAACAAGGAGGTCCCCAGAATGCAACTTTTTTGCTTGGTAGGAGTGTCCGATCAAATGCTCAAGAACCTTGGCAACAATGAACGGAGACAGCTTGGCGGCAGGGCGTTGATTGTCTTCAGAGTGGACTACAAAAAACTTAACAAAGTGTTCTGTTTCTAGTGCTTTGGCGATGACTTGTTCCGGACAGGGCCGTTTGGATGCCTGCCTGGAACCGGGTTTAGAGAGAGAGGGAGCCATAAGAGGCGGAAAGTGTTCAGAACCTGTGGTGTGCCGCCCACCACGGAGCCCAACAAGGGAATAGTTAACGGACCATAACAAAAAGGGCTTTGCTGGAACCGTTAGACTATTAGCACTGCCCAGGTACTATAACCAAGTGTGGTTTTGGACGAGGAGTCTGTCGCCACCCAAGGTTAGCCCTTGCCGCCAAAGGAAATGAAAAAAGGAAAGAAGAGAAAATGAGAAGAGTGAAAAGAAGGAGAAGACAAAAGTAAAAGAGGGGAGGGGATAGTAGAAGTGGCGACTGACTGAATCATCCTGGTCGGGCCAAGCCAGGACACCCGTCTACGGGAAGCGGGGGCCGAAGTGGTGTATTGCCTCACCCGGGGGGCCCCGAAGGGTCCAAACCTGCCCCGGGCTCGGCTCAACCACCAGGATGCCCTTTTCCCCGGACACGGGAAAGCCACGCACAGCCAGACGTGGGCGGGCGAACCCGCATGGCTCGGGGTCCGTGGAGACGCCACTTTCCAAACACCTGCTTTCACAGGTGCCCCCTGCGGGGAGGCGACTTCCCCAAAAGCGTGACTAGTGGTTTGTGATCGGTCTCGAACAGAACATCAAGTCCCGTGATGTACCCTTCGAAACGTTCCGCCGCCCATGTCAAAGCTAAGGCTTCCTTTTCTATCTGGGCATATAGTGACTCGGCTGGAGTTAACTATCTGGATGCAAAAGCAACCGGACGTCGCTCTTTGTTTGGGTGAATCTGCAACAGAACCGCCCCCAACACGAAAGATGACGCGTCAGCGGAAAGAATCATTGGGTATCGAACATCGTAGTTTGCCATGACCCTTGGCGAGCAGATAACGTCCTTGATACACGCCAGCGACTGTTCCTGAGCAGGCCCCCAGACCCACTCGGAATCTTTCAAAAGCAACTGACGTAATGGCTCTGTCTTCGAAGCCAAGTTCGGAATGAATCTGGCAAGATGATTTGCCATTCCCAATAGCCGTCGCACCTCAGAGACATTCTCAGGAGTCTTAAGCTCCTTTATGGCGCGAACTTTCTCTGGGTCTGGCTTAATGCCCTCATGACTCAACTGAAAGCCCAGAAAAGAAATTTCTGTTACTCCGAAGCAACATTTATCTTTGTTCAGAGTGACGCCAGCTCGCCCGAGTCTGTCCAAGGTTTGACGCAAACGGTCATCATGCTGGGCTCTGTCTTTGCCGAAAATTAAAATGTCATCCATCAAGTTTGTTACCCCTGGTATTCCCTCCAGTATTTGCGCCATTCTTTTTTGGAAGTGCTCAGGAGCCGAGGTTATTCCGAACGGCAGTCTTTGGAAACAGAACCTTCCGAAAGGTGTAATAAACGTAGTCAAAAGTTCGCTGTCGCGTGACAGCTTGACTTGATGGAAGCCCGAGTTTGCGTCAATTTTGGAGAAAACCGTTGCTGCACTTAACATTCCCATACTGTCATCTACAGTGGGTAAAACGTAGCGCTCCCTACGCACGCAGTTATTTAAATGCGTTAATTCGACGCAAATTCGTACCGCACCAGACGGCTTCAAAACGGGTACTATGCCCGCGCACCAGTCCGTCGGTTCGTTTACTTTTCGTATCACTCCATTCCGCTCCATTCGCTCCAGTTCCTGCTTAACCGCGTTCCGTAATGGGAGAGGCACCCGACGCGCCGTATGGATCGCGAACGGAACCGAGTTGGGCTTTAAGTTGATTTGGTACTCTCCCGCCATGGCACCCAAGCCACGGAACAGATGCGGGTAGCACGCCTCAACAGACTGTTTTGACGTGGCCAAGTCGACGAACTTAATCACGCCCAGTGCCTCGATAGCAAGGAGTTCGAGAAGAACGGAGTGCAACCGAGAGACTACATACACGGTTTGGTGTACGGTTCGGCGTTTCCACTGTATCGTGGCAGTAAACTTGCCCAGAACTTTCAAGCACTCGTTACTGGGACCGGTCAGCGTGATATCGGACTTCTGTAACCTAGAAGGCAGTCCGGGAAAGGTTGACGGTACAACAGAGACCTCCGCCCCCGAGTCTACCTTAGCAAACACTGGCGTTTCGTTAATGAAGACTTGAATGAATCGGGCGTTAGACCCTGCCCCGCTCACCGACCCAACAAAGTACGCATCGTTGTTCTTTTGAAGACACGAAAGTCGTACCTTTCTTGGGTAGGCGGCAGCTTTCTTGCGGCAGACTGCGGCGAAATGTCCGGTGCTACGACAGTAGCTGCACTTCGTTGACCTTGCCGGGCAGGCTGTCCTGGCGTGAGGATCCTTTCCGCAGAAGGAGCACTTGCCGCCGTCTCGGCCGGTGGCTTGGCTGGTGAAGCGCCGAGGAGGACCGTCTCTCTCCGTCGGCTGGCCTTGTTTCCTGACGGCGTCGAAGTTACCGGCAGCTGTCGTTTCGTTGCTCGCGTCTCGTAGTTGCTGCTGCTGTCGATGGACAGTCTCTTTCAAACGAGCTTTTGCCAGGGCACTGGCAAGTGTCAAGCTCGCGTCCATTTGTAGGGTCTCTGAAAGCTTGGAATCGCTGAGACCAACAATGAAGCGGTCGCGAACCATGCGTTCTTTTAACTCTTGGTACTCGCAACGGTCCGCTAGGGTATGAAGCGCAGTTACAAACTGGTCGACAGACTCCCCTGGTTCTTGAACGCGGCGATGAAAACACGCGCTTTCGTAGACCAGGTTCCGTGCGGCCACAAAGTGGTTGTCGAATCGCTGTTTGACGACTTCGTACTTCTTCGCGTCGTCGTCGGACAAAGCGAAAGTCTGGAAAATCTGGCGCGCTTGCTTTCCCATAGTATAGAGCAAGGTTCGTACCTGTGCTTCTTCACCCCGTTCGTTGAGGCCCGACGCCAAGCGGTAATCGTCGAACTGTTGACTCCAGGTCGGCCATTCAGACGTAGGGTCGAAGTCGAAGTTCGGCGGCGTTTGAACAGCGAACATTCCGTAACCGCTCTTGCAGCCTTCGCTTTCCGCCATCCCGAAGTCCTTGGCGAAGACGACGATAAGAAGCGAGTTAAAAAAACGCCCCGACCACTCCTGACACCATGTCGCGTTATCGCTTGCGCCGCGCGCGTGGGCAGCCGCAGGAATGACGCCGATCTTCTCCAACTGGGGGTAGAAGCCAAAAGAGCCCCGTTTATTCCAGCGTCATCACTTTTATAACAGTCAGGCACGTGACCGCGATACACCGAGCGGCGTCACATGCTATACCGCCACAGGATGGAGGGGGCCAACTTTTAGGCTACCATGCTACACTTATACTCATTCATACCTTCAAGCACAGGGTAGAGAGAATTGACGGCAAAGAGCGCTTTCCTTTCTGCTGCCAGCACCTTGCCCTCTGCTTTTTCTGCTCGGGCTTCAAGCAGCTTGCACTTCTCCACGGCGTAGGCTGCCCTGGCCTCGGCCTCGGCTATCTTGGCCTTGGCCTCGTCCAGCTTGGCCTCGGCATCAGCTAGCTTGGCCTTGGTGCCCACTAGCTCTGCCTCGGCCTGAGCTTGGGTTGTCCTGGTTTCAGCTTGAGCATGTCTTAGCTCAGCAGCAGCGAAGCAAGGGTCCTGATCATCCAGTCTAGGGGTCACCTGATGCGGAAATCATTCTTGGGTGTTTAAAACACCTAAAACACTTCCCCATTTTTTTTTAAAGTACTTCCATGGACAAAAATCCTCAGTATGTGCAATCGGCGGCTGAAACTTATTGCTGCACCATCTGTCAGTGGCTCGCCTGATTTTGATACCACACCTGCATGCTATTGTGCTTGCAGGCGTGTGTTCATGCACTCTTCTGTGACTCAGTTATAGTAAAACCTCGTTATAACAAAACGGGATATAACAAACTAATGGATATAACAACGCAATCATAATTCCCCTTGCTTGCTAATAGTGGGAAGAAATGGACATTGGCTATAACAAACTAATGGTTATAACGAAATAATTACGACCGCTCCTTCAACTTTGTTATAACAAGGTTTTACTGTAATTCCTCAGAATACAGCGCAATGTGCCGCCTCAGCGGCGGTATTCGTGAGCATCTGAAAGAGATGCCACGAAAGGAGACAGCATTTGCGGTTTCGCAGCACATACTGCTGGTCAATAAGAAGTCTGGTTTCCGAATACGGTGATTTAATGTTTTTCTTCATATCATAGTTATTAAGCCACACTTTCTGACGTAGCAACAAGTCGTGGCAATTTGAGTGAGCAGTAAAATCAGATCTACAGTCTTGGCACCTCGTGCTACATCCTGAAGTAAACACCGCGTCAGAAAAGCGCCCAAGTGCTCTTCAGTGGTCTAAACCAGGCAACCAACCAGCAGATAGCTGCAGTCATGCTTTTCAGTCGCCGCTATCGCGTCCTTGGGATTTTCGTCTGCGTTAGTACACTGTCTCAGATTTATACTGATGCCTTCAACAATACCACTTTTTGACCCGTCAGAACCTTAGCAAGCAAGACTTTTGTAGCCTCAGGCCTGCACGGTCAGCTGAAAACTGGATCACATACCAGCAGAAGTGATGAATTACCTGTTGAAGGATCTCTAACATTATCCACTCCATGATACGGTCCTCAAATGCCGCTGACTTGGTTTTTCCTGGCTTCTGAAGTGCAAAAACGTAATACCATAAAAGCTTTATTTTTGTTAAAAACGATTTAACAAACAAATCGATTTCCCACGGATACCCACAGGGTTCACTTCAATTTTTTTAGGAAATCAGAGTAACAAAGACTTTAATTGCCAGACCCATTCAATGAAGCATTCCAGAAAAAAAAGTAGTTGAAAGGTCAGCTAGCGAAGACTACTGTGTGTGAAATAACTCAGTTTATTGTTAACACATCCTGGTTTGGGTTTTTAATTATGCTAGATGGCACTAGAGCAGAAATTGTTTTAAGCTGCATATAACAGATGGCATTGATAAGGCTCACCTTTGATCCCTACACAACAGGGTTGCATTACCCTGGAAAACATTACGTTTTCTTCTCCTTTCCCTATGCACTACCGGTGCAAGTTTCCTTCACAGATTCTTACTGCATAGGAGCATAATGCTGCATGAAAACCTGGCCTTGGCTGATTTAACAAAATTCTCAGTTCAATGAAACGATGTAGGCTCCCCTAAACTTAATTTAGCTAGGTAGAGATTATATAGAAATTATTTAGCTGTACTCAAATTAGAAATATGGATAGACCTGCTTAAAAGTGCACAAAAGGGGTGTCTGAGATCATCTGTTCTTGGTCGTAACTCAATTAGGGTGTCTAGCAAATTATTCTTTCGAAGTTCCTTGACTTTTCCAGGTTTTCCCTGACAATTTCAGGGGAAATTCTGACCACTGTAGAGGCGGTTTAATATATAAGACCATTACAACACAAGGCATTGAGCAGTATGAGGATCATTTTGCATGCGCTTAATCCAACTTGGATATTCCGAAATATTCAGGTTCGTCCAGTCTGGATTAAACGAGCACTCTCTTGCCCCCGACATCGGTAGTGAAGAGGCCACTTCCGAAAACCCGATAAAAACACGACGCTCAACAAAGCATGTCAATAACCGAATGGCAATATGGCACCCAGATGCACACTTTCGGCTACTTTCGGCTTAAGGCTTGGATTGAAGTCTGCGGCTCTTCCATTTGTTGCTAAATATAGTAGCTCTAACTGGATCCAGCCTAGCGTTGCGTCCTTAATCCAATCCAATCCAAGGCTTGTACTGGATTTGTCGGCTGTTCTCTTTGCATCAGGTAGCACACTCTACATCGCATGATCAGAGCCCGTGCTCCGCTCAAAGCAGAATTTATTGTCCATTTTTCTGCTCCTAAAGCGCGAAACACATGTTCGACGAAACCGCCCGATCCGACGTGCAACTGCCGGAATGACCTTCGGGGGCGAGGGTTTTCGTAGCACCGCAGAGCGTTGAAAACCCTCGCATTGCCTGATCGGACGTTGGATCGGACGGTTTTGTCGTACATGTGTTTCACGCTTAAGTCCTCATGTTTTTGCTCAGGGCACTCGATGGCGTTTCCGGCTCACTTTCCCTGACAGGGAAAATGACAATATCCCTGACTTCCCCGGTAATTAAAATTTCCCCGACAATTCACGGTTTTCCAGGTCGCTAAACACCCTGTCAATCTACGGGCTCTAAGCATTCTAAAATTAAAATTATGCTCATGTAATGCTTATTTCACTACTAAAAATGTGATCTAAGATCGGGTATGCCCCTTTCTGAGCGGAAATTTTCGCGCCAGCGGCACATAATTTAGCCAAGGCGACGGCGGGGTGCCTTCCCGAGAGCAGATGCTTCGTCTGCTCTCGAAAAGGCGGCTGGCGATTGGCTGACGAGTGCCCCTCATCACCCGCCATCACCTCGGTAGGATTATGCTCTGCCCTACTCCTGCAGAAAGTTCCACTCAGAAAGAGGCGCGCCCAATCTCAAATCAAATATTTAGAAGGGAAATAAGCGTTGCAAAAGTCCAAATATGTTTGGACTTTTAAGGTGCTTAAGAGATTGTAGAATGAGTTATCACCAAGAACAGGTGGTCTCAGAAACCTCTTTAGTGCACCTTTAACATGGTGTATTTACTTGAAACAGGCAGTTTACGGTTGTGTCCGAAAGCTTACTCGACCCAACTCTGGAGCAATGGCTCTGCGCATAGCATTTAAACACCTGCCCATGTTCAGCGTCCATTTATCAGTGTTTTTACATGACAGGATCCGTGTAACTCGGACCCAAATGAGTATTTGAAACACAGTACAAGGCAAAGTGCTCTTTGAAGCAATGAAATCAAGCTGAGTGAATCATTAGAATGCTTATAAGCCGTGTAAGTATAAGTGAAAGTATAAACTCCAGCTGCACACTGTTTTATCCCACTGGCTTACAGCAATGACGGGCACTCTGACATCAGTACCCAAACTGTTCCAAACACAACAAAGAAAATGGAGTGATCATCAAGCAATTATTTTGTTTTAATTGCTTGATGCACCACCACCACAAGCTATTTTGACGGATGAGCCAGCTTGACACTAAAGCTGTCAGATTGGATTTGCAACATCATTCAGATGCAACTATATATAAGCATACTTTGTAGACTGTTTTCTAGATATAGGCCACAATGGGTTCAGGCAAGGACAGACAAGAGGGCAGACAAAACGTGTCACGACGTCAATCTGTTTCCTTTTTGTAATCCTGTTTCCCTTGACTTGGGATTGCTTTAATCAGGATATGATCGTTCACCAGCTCGCCCAGGCTTTACCACTCATTGCGGCAAACATAGAGGCTGTTTCACCTAATACTGAAGAAAAGAAAGTTTAAAAAAATGACGTAAAGAACAGGCCAGCAGCATTTTGAACAGCACGCAGAGAGAAAGTCAGGGACCAGAGAAGTGCTATAAACCATTCATGTATCAGATACAAAAAAATAATGATAGATGTTTACCGTCCCCTTCGATGCCCCTCTCGACGTTCCTTTCGACGTTCCTTTCGACATTGCAGCATCCTCATCACTCGAGTCGGGCAACATTGACTCCAACAGCTCTTCGAGATCTCTGCGCACTGCTAAGAAGGATATACACATATTATGGGTTACTTCTGAAACAACCCTTACTCCTTCCTGTGAGGGGTGTAGCATATTTATATTAATCGTCTACGGCATGTACCGGCCACTTCGTTGTAGATAGACGTATTCACCATCTTGAAATGTGATTCCTGGAGCCAAATGCGCTTGTGCCACCGGTGTGGCAAGCCTTCCATGAATCACCATAGCCACAATTTGGAAGTGTGCTGCACCCCCACCTGGAAAGCTAATTCCAGGTGATCAATGACTGCAAAATGACACCTTCACATTGCTTTCTGAATACAGAAGGCACTATCCTTATTAACTGGCTAGGACCGGCAACCACCATCAACGTAGCCGGATATGTGGCTATTCTCAGGAGACTGTGTCGCGCCATTCAAAGGCAGTCAAGAAAAATGGGCGATCTTGAGCATGACAATGCCCAACCCCACATAACCCAGGAAACAATAGAGGCAATCACGACGTTGGTATTTTCATGTCTGCTACATCGACCGCACTTGCCCAACTTAGCCCCCACTAACTATCCTCTGTCTGGTGCCATGAAAAAAAACAAAAAAACTGCAAGAACTCCATTTCATGAATATTGACAAAATTGGAAACAGCTGTCTAGGCGTGAGGGCAAAACATTCTGAAAGGGTGGTTCCGGCATGGAATCGCAAGGCTGCCACGTCGTTAAAATAAGCACATTTGTCTCTATGGAGGCTATGTCGAAAAGGTGAAAATGCATAAAGGCTGCTAAGTATGTGTGTTATCTGGAGAAAAAAAAATCCTAAATCAATCTGCCATGCACCTCATAAACATGGCTTGCACGCGACATCACTCTGCAGGGCTGGTGGCAAGGTTCTCCCTACAGTGAGCAGCACTGGTCCTGCCGCCCACCAGTCCTGCTGATCGCCTATCTGTGTGATGTCCTAGTGTCAGTATAAATAACCACCCCGGCAGGTGGTTATTCCTACTTATTTCCAGCTTGAAGGTACAAGTTTCCACTGAAATAAGTTTCACCGACACATGTTTCGTCGACAAAAATATTTTCTTTCGCTATATGGATTCGACTGCATTATGTGATTCATTTAGCTTGCTGGAAGTTTAGAGGAAGGCTGTCTGTAGGCCGCGGCAACCCAGGCTTCCAAACAATGCCGTACGTGGTCACCCTTGCCGTCCCTCGGGGAATATAGTTACAATATCAAGGATCGGGCGTGCATCGCCAAGAGTTCAGCAAGCTAGGTTATGAAGTAGCCAGAAGGCCTAAATCTAGAGGCACACAGGCCGGCCCACGTACAGTGGCCCAAGTTTTTAAGAATATCAAGCAAACGTCGACAGCTGGGCCGGCTAGCACCGTGCAGCGGAGGGGTGCGGCGATACGGGAGAGATTGGGCACGTGCTCACAAAGCTCTTTCCAGTGACAGCGTCGTCTGCTAAGCTATTCCGTTGACCGCACACATCCCAGGTGCTCATCTGCTGGCAGAGAAAACCGCCTTTACGCAAAGATCTGAACAAAGCTCCCTATTGAAAATCGCTCTGATGGGACTTCAGGATTTTTTTAAAGGGTGTGAAAGGGACTTCAGGAATTTCTGAGATGTTTGAAAGGTGCACCGATATTTCCTGGTGGGTTCGTTGGCCCCGTCAGAAGCTCTCCTGACATGTCTGAAGTCCCCTTTACAGTGCCTTGAAACGTCTGAAAGCCTGTCAAGAACTTTTCTAATGGGGTCCGAAAAACCTTCAGGCTTCTTCAGATGTCTGTGGGCAAAGGCTTAGGTGGAGAAAACACATTTCGCAGAATTAGAACATAGTTGCTCATTGTACGCTACGGGAAAACAAAAATAAGTATTTGGAAAATCTCGATCGTATGTATGTACGGTCAGATTTTATTACTGCTCTCCTATCAAATACGAGTGGGCTCCTGGACCTTTCTGTCACTGCCCGGGTGTTCGGTCGCCAAGGAGGCCACCGAGGGCGACCGCCCCATGTGGAGAATCGACGAG